AAGCTTCTTGGTAAGTAGGGAAAACACCTCCATGGTAATATCAAATAGTAAGGGAGAGATAGGATCTCCCTGCCTCAGCCCTCTAACTCCGGAGAAGTGGCCATGAAATTCCCCATTAATTGAGATAATAAAAGATGGAGAGGTGATGCATTCCTTTACCCATCCAACAAAGGTCTCAGGAAACCCAAAGAGAGCAAGAGAATCCAGGATAAAGTCCCAACCAACAGAGTCGAATGCTTTCATTAAGTCAACCTTGATGGTGCATCTAAGGGGAACCAGATGATTATGATAGCCATGAAAAAGCTCTTGAGCAAGAAACACGCTGTCCCTAATGTGTCTACTTTTGACAAATGCATTTTGACATGGATCAATTATAGATGGTAAGACCAGCTTAAGCTTGTTATAAATGAGTTTGACAATGCATTTGTAAATGGTATTGCATCACGAGATAGGCCTAAAATCGTTAAGAGTTACGGGGTTAGAGCAACCGGTATGGAGCACTTTTTGCTAACAAATGAGTCAGTATTGCTAGTCAAAGTGATGGTATAAGAATAAAAATTAGTGGGAACCAGGGGAAGGATAGCAAAGTACATCACAACTGCTAACAATAGCATTGCGAGCCAAACAAGGCCCACTGTTGCGGAACGACTCTTTTCCCTTTTTCTTTTTTGGCCCACAACTGCTAGGTTCTTTTTTTTTTTTTTTTTTTTTTATTTTTTTTATATGTAATTTATTTTTATTGTAAAAAATAATTTTATGATTTTTATGATTTTATTTTATTTTATTTTTTATTTTGAAATAAATATTTATGATTTCTATTTCTTAGTATTTTGAAATATTTTTTTAAAAAAATTGTCAACAAATATATATGAATTTTTTAAAACAAAAAATCATATTGTTAGAAATGGCTTATTTTTTTATTTTTATTTTTTTCTTTACTATTTCCTTTTATATGTAATTTAATTTTATTGTAATTTTTTTTTATTTTATGATTTTGATTTTTTGTTCTTTAAAATATGTCAACAAATATATAAGCAAAAAAAAAAAATTGTAAAGTAATATTTTATTCATCACAAACGTACAATATGAAAAAATACATTTTACTCAATATTGTCTTTAAACCTCTTTATTGCCAAATTTATTCCACAAATGCTCCATAAGATCTCTCCTGAGATCTCCATTATTTTCTACGTTGCGAATCATGCTGAGGCGAGTGGAGATGTGTGCTGCCAAAAATGATCGGTCTCGATTGTACTGTGGAAGGTAGACCGGCTCATCCGTTAGAGGAGTCCATTCCAAAATGTTAGTGTCGCCCTCGTCTTCTATGATCATGTTGTGCAATATGATGCACGTTCTCATTATCTTGCTCAGGTCTTCTTTCTTCCTATAATATACTGGTTCATGCGTTATAGCCCATCTCATCTGCAACACACCAAATGCCCGTTCAACATCCTTCATAACGGCTTCTTGTCTTTGAGCAAACAATTTCTCTTTTTCAGTAGTTGGGTGCGGGATGGTTTGAATCAAAGTTGCCCATTTAGGGTATATACCATCAGATAGGTTATACCCCAACGTACGGTGATGTCAATTTACCTCATAATTAACTGGAGGTATTGTACCATTAATGATACGATTGAATACTGGGAAATGATTTAAGACATTCACGTCCTTGTGTGAACCAGCCATACCAAAGAAAACATGCCAGATCCATAGATTTTTTGATGCAACCGCCTCCAATATGAGGGTAGGCTTACGACCTCTCCCCTTGTGTGTGCCATGCCACCCTTTAGGGCAATTCTTCTATTCCCAATGCATACAATCTATTGAGCCAAGCATACCTGGGAATCCTCTTTCTTCCCCTTCTTGAAGTAAACGTGCAATGTCGCTTTCGTTTGGCGAGCGTAGGTACTGCTCCGCATACAATGCAATTATAGCATCACAAAATCTCTTCAAGCTTTCGATCGCAGTGCGCTCTCCAACCTTTATGTACTCATCACAAAGATCCGCAGAAATTCCATAAGCAAGTATATGTATTGCTGTTTTCATCTTCTGTATAGAGGTGCACCCTATATGACTAGTAGCATCGGGCTTCTGTTTGAAGAAGTTGTCATGAGTTGTAATATCGTTCAAAATGCGAAGAAACAACTGTAGTCGCATTCTAAACCGTCTACGAAAGTATTCAGGTGGAAACACAGGATTTTCGGCGAAATAATCTTTCCAGAGTTGTTGTGCTGCATCCTCCCGATCATGTTTAATATATTGTCTCTTCTTTGGTTTAAATAATGCTTTTAGATTCTCAGGCGTAAAAATACCCAGAATTGTTTTGATCATTTTTTTATGGAATTAATAAACCGTCTCCCGATTAGAATCTAACGAATTTTCTGAAGAATCAGATTCGGAGATTTGAAAAGATTGTGATGATGATGCCATTTTTTTTTCTTATATAAAAGTTGAGAATTCAGAGACGAGAAAAAGTGGTAGAGGAATCAAATAAGAGAAAATATGGACTTGAGGAATGAAGGAAGAGAAAATGGACTTGAGCAATTACAACAGACTAAATTAGTGGTTTATATAGTCGTTGGATTATAGCATTTAGAAATATAGCTGTTGGAAATATAGCCGTTGAGAATATAGCCGTTGGGTATACAACAATCTCTATAAATACAACACTCATTTCACTCAATACTCATCCTTCAACACTTATTTCTCTCATCTTCAATATTCATTTCACTATATCATCATCCTTCGACATTCAATGGATCAGTGACCTCCATTCAACAACCCTCATTTTAACCAATATGGAAATTTCGAAATACCATCTCAATTCAATTCTGGGTGGCACTCTCAAGATCCAATCCATTCTGAATATACATATCAGTTCCAATTCCTAAACCAAATTTATCCAGAATACACACCTCAATTTCAAATTCCATTTTGTCACCTTTACACATCTCAATTCCAAAATCCATCTCAACAACCCCCATACACACCTCAATTCCAAAATTCCTCTCAACCTTCTCAATCACAGCCACCCTCAAAGAAAAAGGGTGGGAATTGGTCCGAAGAAGGAGATATAGCATTGTGTAAAGCATGGATCATGTTTAGTGAAGATCCAGTGACGGGTACAGATCAAAGTATGGGTACATTGTGGCAACGAATTCATGCTCATTGGGTTAGGCAATTGGGAGACAAGATAACTGAAGAAAGATCACACGGTGCTCTGATGAACCATTTTTCAAACTTTCAACGTGATGTAAACAAATTTTCAGGATACTACAAAAATGTCCACGACAATCCAATCAGAGGTTACAACGAGTATGATATAGTAAGTTTTTACTTTGTACAATATTTTTTTATTCTTAATTTTAATCCAACTTATTAATTTCAATGATTATTTATTTATTTTTATAGATGAATGCTGTTAGAGAACTATATAAACTTTAACAGAAAAAAAAAATTAAATACGAGCATTGTTGGAATGTTCTTCGGAATTCGGAAAAATGGCAGATGCATTGCAACGTTAACGAAAATCCAACTAGATGACCAATGAAAAGAGGTGTTGATCTTGATAAATGAGTCAAGAAATTGGTCTGAATCGACTCCAACAACATTAGGTTCATCAACTCCTACAATATCAACTCCAGGGTCGGTAAATCTTGGTGATGAGGATACACTAGTCGATACTGAAGGTTCGAATATGTCACGTCCCGAGGGACAAAAAACAAGGAAGATTCATAAAAAGAAAATGCCATCTTTTGAAGCAAGTATTCTTAAACAATTGGAAGCTGTAACAACACAAGGCGTCATGTTTGGTGAAGTAGGTGTGGAAGGAGAGCGAATGAGACTTCAACTTTCCATGGAGAAACAACGGACTAAGCAGCTGGCGATAGAATCAAATTTGGAGAAAGAACGGACTAAACAGTTATAAATAAAAACAAGAGAAATGATTGCTGAAATGGAGTTTGAAAAAGATATAATGCGTCAAAATCCATCGAAGGCTCCAATAGAAGCATCAAAGGCATAGATCATTCAACAACAAAATCAAATCTTAAATAAACTAAATGAAGGTGGTGGTCATATGTAATTTATTTATATTTGTAAGAAAATATGCAATGTCTTTTTATTTTATTTATTTAATTGTGAAAAATTATGTAATGTCTTTTTTTATTTTATTTATGTAATTGTGAGAAAATATGTAATATCTTTTTATTTATTTTATTTATGTAATTGTGAGAAAATATGTAATGTATTTTTGATTTATTTAATTATGAGAAAATATATTAATTTAAATGTATTAAAAGAAGTATTCTATTCAAATATATAATATAAAAAAAATTTAAGTAATTGAAAAAGTAGTCGTTTTAAAAAATACAAGCAAAAATAATAAAATAATAAATATCAATTAACTCATACAGTGACTAAAATATAGTAATATATAATAAAAAAAAAATATCAAGTGATTGAAAAAGTAATCGTTTTAAAAAATACAAATAAACAAAAAAATAAATATATTTTTAATTTTTTTTTACTTAAAATATTAAATGTATTTTAAAAGTACAATAAAAATTATCAATTTACCATACTGTGTAAACAAGATAGTAATATATTATTATTAATCACATCAGCACAATTACTGACGTGACCAGCAATTAAACAAAGTTTTGTTAGCAGTATTGCTATCACCATACAACTTGCCCTTAGGGACTTTTGCGACCAGAGCAAAATATGCATTGTTAATCTCCTTTAGCAGCTTCACACTATGAAAGAAAGATTTGATAGCGGCTGTGAAAGATTTGATAGCGACAGTGATGTCCCTGTAGAATATACTGAAGCTTATTACTGAAGCTTAATAATCTAATCAAACTGTAGAATAGACTTTTAGAGGCAATTAATGTCTAGTTGGGCTGAAACTGCATTGGAATATGGGAATTAAAACCGGTTATAAATATACTTTCAGGTTTTGTTCTTTTTGTCACATTCAAATTAAACAGCTGACCACAGAGAAATAAAATAGAGTTTCTCTCTCTATATTGGGTGGAGAGAGAGAGAGAGCAATGGAGTGGTCATCAACATCATGGGGGTCTGGAACCATGATGCTAGAACAAGCAAAAGAAGAGTTGCAGATACTGGAAACACAGTACCCCAACCAGTTTGGCTATTTAAAACAAGAACTCAAATCCTTCATCTTTCTACTTGAATCCCAAAATTTAGGTGCCAATTCAATCTCTTTGTCCACCTCTTCCTCTGTTATCACACAAGGTTAGATACAAACACACTACTTTTATCATTTTTCATATATATATATATATATGTAGATATATGTATATATTTGTGTGTGTGTGTGTTGGTGTTTATGTTATACATGGTATTGAACAGAATCAACAGCCAAGAAGAGAAGGAAGATTAGTTCAGAATTAGAGGGAGGAGTAATGGAGGTTGAAATTGAAGGTCCTAAGCAAAAAAAACCAAGGGGTGATTGTGATGTGTACATGAACGAGAAGAGGGACAGGGTTGATTTGGTCATTGAGAGGGCTCAAGCTTGTCTCCACAAAATTCAAAGATTCAAAGCTTGCTTTGGCTGATCAGAGACCATGGAAGGACCCAAACTAAGCAACTTGAATGCAATTAACTGTTTTCTCTTTTTGCAATCTCTTGTGTATGCTGAAAAGGTGCAAACCCAAAATTGAAGGAATTTTGTAACGTTGGGAGTGTATATATACCTTTAAATTGGGTGATTTTACTTGTATTTAATTCCATGTCTATGGCAGGGTTGTTTTTGTTTGGATGTAAAATATATATTTTTAATTTTCACATGTTTGGTTGGGGTAATACATTTATAAAGAAAAAAATACTAAAATATTTTTTGACAAATTATATTATGTCTCGTCAATACACTCGACATCAACATTTGTTTATATATATGTATATTATCTTAGAAAGTTTGCAAAGTGTTTCAGCTCAATCCAGTGCCGCATCAAGACCCTTGTAACATTCTCGGTCAGTGAACTAATGGCAAACCTCATTGCAATCAAATCAACAAAAATGTCCACCCCAAATGGGGAGAGTACGGTGACATTCGAGTCTCGTTATGATATAAATTAAAGAATTAATTAAATTTTACTTTCCTCTGTTAAAGTTTCTATTTTACATAAAGTCTATCCACGTTTGATAAAGTTGTAATTTATGTAATAATTTTTGTTCAACGAACAAAATAGTAAAATAACATGATATAGTTACTAAGCTCGACCATCCAGAAAAAAAAAAAAAAAATGAAGCTATAAAATATAGAGACAACATTCTAAAAAATTTGGAAGGTTCTAATATCACTTCTACCAAGTTGGACGTTTGCCATTCGATCCAAACAAGCCGAACACCCGAAATAAGGTTTACATGAGAAACAATGAAACATTATGCAAACAATAAAATAATTTTGTTAAATATAAAATGTCCGTCCGTGTGTAAAAGCGTCGAGAAGGAAAGGGAAAGGGAGAGGGAAAGGGAAAGGGAAAGGGAAAGGGAAAAGTCCCACTGGGGTAAAATTAGAGTAGGAGTGAACTAAACAAAACCCTTTCACGGAAGCTGAAAACAACGGTGGATTTGCAAATTCCATCTTCATATGAATTCAATTTCCATTGTCCGTTGCGTACGATAGCTTATGAACACCTTTGCTATCTCTGAAAGGACTGAAACCTGTTGATTGTTCGCAAAGAATTTGAAAGAAAGGATCAAAATATGGTTTGGGGTTTGTTTCCTGCCGACCCACTTTCAGGTTACAGTTTCTCTCTCCTAATTCTCTTCTTACATGCTGTTTCTTACTAGGTTTTACAATGACACACTAACACAAACCCAACAAAGAAGAACTTCTAAATTTATTCAAGTTTGCTTTCTTTCTGCTATAAAAGATAGTTTTAACTTTTAATTAAATTACACAGCATAGCATTTTAACTAACACCTTAGCTGTCTGATACATAATGAAATACACACACAGATATGTGTGTGTGTGTATATATGATGTTTTCTTTTTTATCCAATTGTTTGTTATGTTTTCTTGGCTCCCTAAATCTAAACCTCCCCAGGCACTGGGTTAGCCACATTTTTTTTTTTTTTTTTTTTTTTTTTCAATTTTTTTTTTGTATGTTTTTCTTTGAAAAAGTAAAATAATTCATCAGCTGTTCTGAAATGTGAACTATCTTGTTAATGAAGTTGGAAATTTGAAATGCTTCCGTGACTCAAGGGCTCATGGCCCGACTCTGTAGTGGATGTTAATAGCTTTCAAGCAGCATGAACTGCTGAACAAGGTCGAAATTCATGTACATTGTAAGACAATGTGTTTATATATTGAAATTTTGTTTCTTTTACCAACTGCAATGTTATAAAAATGAACAATATGCCTTTTAAGCATAAAGTAAAAAAATGTTAATCCTTTATTTATAGATGAATCTATTTGTTTATTTAAAGGCCAATGAAGGTAGGAGAGTCCATCTTTGTATCCCATAGTTGATAGAAGTGTGATCGTTATAAAGGTTCAAATAGTTTTGTGATTGAATTATGATCGTTACTATTGAGGTGGACCTATTTACATATAGACATTTTAAATTCTCACATTGTTGTGTATTCGACATTATTAGATTTTACTTCTGTATTGTTAAATCATGGACTTTGGTGCCTTCTGGTTGATTGATAAGAATAAAGTGTCTTCTATGATTTATAAATCTTTGAAGGACTTAGCTTGTGCTGATTTTACCGTGGTTGATTAATATGACAGGTGATGATAAGTACTACATCTTCAGCAAAGGGACATACAAAGTGGGTCGAAAAGGTACTCTTGATTGTTGGAAATTGTTTTACATGTGTTTTTTTTTTTTTTTGAATTTTCACAACCTAACATGGATTCTACACTTGGACGTATTTGAACATCCCTTGAAATTGAATGCATCCAGTCACTATTTACATAGAGTTTTAAAGGAGAGATTAGTTATGACGAGTGGATCCATTTGGCCAATTTTGGGACTTAAACCATATTTCTTCATAAGTGGTCATTTTTTAATTTCCTTGAAATGACAAAATTCATGTTTTTAGAACATTTTTTTTGAGACGGGTACTACTTTTCCGAATGAATCTATTCAAGATGAAATGTGAAGGGTTTATGGGGCCATTAAATTCAAGAGGCATTCAAAACTGGCTTTTAGTTCTTCAACTTGGAGCGGACAAGTTTGGCATATGCTATCTGTGGTTGGGTCTGGTTTGGGTATAACAAATAGGTCAACTCTTCTTATCCCACCGAACTCAACTTTGACCCAGTTTTCTGACCCTAATCTTGACAATAATATATTTACTAAATATAAGTTATTGTGCATTATTTTGATGATCTGACTGTTAAAACTTTTATTTTTCCTTTTGCAGGATGCGATGTAATAATTAACAAAGATAAAGGAGTTTCACGGATCCATTCGGAGATTGTGGTTGAGGGAATGGCTTCCTTGGATCAATTGCAGAACAAACCTTCTAAAGTATCGTCCAGTGTTCGGATAAGAGATTGCTCGAAGTATGGAACATTTATTAACAAAAGTCAAGGGTCAAAGGAAAAAGTTCATGAGTTCCCAAATAAGGAAACAACTCTAAAAGATGGGGATCTGATTTCTTTTGGAACTGGGAATGCAACCTACAGGTATTCTAAGCCATTTTTCGGCATATACTTTACAAGTGGGAATTTGGTGGTAACAGGGTGCAAAATTTGCACTTTTAATATGAAATTATTTTTTTAAAAAACAAAGTAATTGATATGCTGAAACTTTTGCTTTGAGAATGGCAAGTTATGCACTTGTTAGATAAAGTCTACGACTCTACATAATGCTTCGTGATTCTAAATATAGGTGTAGTCTAGTGTTATCATATAAAACTTACATTACTATGTTCTGCTTGGGTAGTCTAACTAATATTTGGCAGGTTTTGTTTTGTTCCACTCATATTTTTTGTTTACCACACCAAGCCCTTCCAAGTGAATCAACTTCTTCAAGACAAGATATCATCAATAGGTTAGTAATTTCTTGCAAACACTCTGGTGGCCTGAGCATGTTCCAGGACGCTTTCTATAAAATATTTTTTGGGTTATCACTCACTAGTGTATTATTTAATGTATGCCTTCCTTGCTTTTTAGTTGTGTTCCTGTTGCTTGGTTTTGACACATGTTTTAGTTTACAATGCATGAACAAGAACAACAGTTATTTGACTTACCAAAAAGAAGAACAACAGTATTATTTGTCCCATTACTTCCCTTTTTCTTTTTCTTTTCTTTTTTTCCCATTTTTTTCTGCTACAATCATGCTAAACGGTTGTTCTTATACCTGTTACACAATGAGATTTCCCAATTATTTATTTTTTCTTAAATATATTCATTTTGATTTCTTTCTTCTTTCTGATGTAACACAGCGGTTGTCCACAATTGAAAATAGGTGGGCTGTGTTTAACTTTTTTCTTCTTTCCGGATTTTTATTGGTGTTGTTGATTGGGATTTACAGTTAATTGTGGTACATAATTTAATGGTAAAATAATTTTTGAAATACATGGACCAGAGGGAAAAAAATTCAGTGATGGGACGGTGGGGTAAAGCAGGGTTAGGTTTTGGTTAAATGTTTGTGGTTGAACTGAGTGCACAACTGTTCTGGACAAAGAATGATGAAAATCAAAGAGAAGAAGAAGAATGTGGAAGAAGGCCTTTTTTCTTGTTCCTTTAGACATTTTTCTGTTATGTATTTTACTTTAATGTTTTAATTTGTTGCTACTCACCAATTCTCACCTAAGAAATCCACCCACTGCTAGAAAGTAATGTATTCCTTACCTTAGAAAGGATTATGTAATGGATAAAACTTTTGTTTCCGTATAGGTGCTCAAATTACTCGTATTTGGAGTCCAGAGTGGACACATTTTCTTGTTGATCAGTCCATGCCATTGACAGAAGATGTAATTGATGCTATTGTGGCTAAGAAACCCGTTGTCCTCAATAAATGGATCGAGGTACATTCACATCCGTTATTCTTTATCACTTTTGAACTGTTATGCATAAATATTTTATTTGGCTATATCTAATTAATTTACCATGTTCGGTGGCTTATTTTTTACGCATAAACGTTTCATATAAATTTGTTGGTTTATCAAATATCATTTCAAAAATTTTAAAATCTTTCTGTTCTTTGATTTGAGCCGTGATAAATTATATAAATAATTTATGGTATCTTATCAGTTGCATGTTATTGTCCAGGACTATGAAATAATTCTGTTCATCCTGTATATATTTGATGTGTGAATGTAAATCAGAACTTAAGAACAACCCAGCCTCACATTAAAATAGTGAATAACCCAGTCAACAAAAATATTATTATGTACACAAAATGTATTATAACAATGTGTTAGTGATAAGAGAAATTAATGAAATCCTAATGCCCCAATGTCTTTATAAACAGGTTGGAAGAGGCTAGCCAAAGCCCAACCCATTTGCTTAAACCTGCCAAATTTATCAAGGCAAAACCTTTAACAGTAGCAGGCAGGTTTGGAACTATTGATCGATGATGAAAAAAATTAACATGATTGCTGCCGTTAATTTCGGAGTCATTCATTCATTGATGGTTATTTGTAATGCTAACATAGGAAGTTCCTCAGTAGATATATTCTCTCACAGATCCTTATATAAAAAGGAATTTTTAATATCAAGTTAGATAACAGCTATCCCTTGCACACAACAAGGCAGGAATGGTGATAAGATGAGTCATGGGAGAACATATCTAAATAATCAACATAAAAATGTCTGCGTAGTGGCTACGAATCAGGCTTTTAACCTCTCAACCGTGGTAATTCACTGCATAAACCCCACCGACAACCAATTGAGATGTTACACAGTGAAACACACTAGCTCAAGTCAATAATGCCTTTTTCCAGCTATTCAGGTTTGGCTACTTGAATCATGTTCATCATTCCGCTCTAAGGTCATAACCTTACTCAAACCACATATATATCATATTCTTTCTTACTATCTATACCTATATTAATTTTTGTCTTCCTCGCCCCCTAGCATCACCCTCACTCCCTCAGTATAGACAACTCCACTCTTCCTTATAGGTTCAATTATCGTTGTTGCTACATATGACATAACTATCTTATTAGATTCTCTATCGTGTTATGTCCAATGGATGCTACTTCAACTGTTTCATGAATGCGTTGCCCGAAGTATTATTCTGGTGCAAGGCAACCTTCTTGTCATACTTTGCACTGTCTACTCAAGTGAAGACACTGTCTAAAGATGAGAACGAAATAAGAAACAAGCAAAAAGTGATAGATATATGATAAGAAGAGGTAACTTATTAAATGGATGACAAGATACATTATTAGAAAAAGAGATAAAGGAATAACTTTATCAAATACTACAAAAGTATATGTTTTCTTTAAATTTCTTGATAAGTCAAAATGCATGCTTTCATTATAACATTAATTTAGAGTATATGCTTTCTGTTCTTGACATACATTATAAATCTACTTTATCTGGCTAATATAGAACCATCCCATAGAAATTTCACATATATTTTTGTTTCTTATTGTCACTCTTTGATGGGTTTTGATATTCAGTTTGTTGCAGAAAAAACTATTTGCACTGAAATTCCAAGCTGCAGTTCGTAAGTTTTGAATTTTAACTTCCTTTTGGTTGGACTATGTTGAGATTGCACAAAGTACTGTAAACTTGCTTTGATTAAAGCGTTAAAATGAGTTTTGCTTTTCCCCTTCTCTTCTCAGTTATGCTCCAACCTTGATGTTGGAAGGACTATCAGTCAAAGTTGCAGACCCCAAATCTCGAGAAAACTGTTTGAGAGGGTACACTTTTCTGTTGGAATCAACAGCCAAGGTGATATTCCTTGGTCACTTTGGAAATCTCAAGCTGTTTGTTATCACTTACAACTCTTCTTGTGACACTTTTGTTGTTTTAAAATTATTAATGCAAATACATGTGTATTGGAAATATATCTCTTGTCCAATCATGTATCAGAAGCATTGATATTGAAGTAAGGTATTATTGACTAAAATATTCTCAGTTTTACTGGATAATCATAATAATAATTCTTTAGTGTTCATTCTTTCTCTCTACACACACACACACTCTTCACATGCACGCAGTCACACACACATGTTACAGTTTCTGAGAACATAACTTGTTTCTGGAAATCTTAAGAATGATGTTATAGATGCTTAATCTGATCTTTTTTGGTGTTACAGTACAAGTTTAAGGACAGGTTGCAATTATTATTCGAAATGGTTGGCGCAAAGGTTGTTTCTGCTGAAGAATTTTGTTCGAGTAGCCAAGTATGTGATTACTTCATTTTGTTTCACTCTCCTTATATTTTTTCTTCTTTGTGAAGTTTTTATTTTTTGTTTGGTTTTCGGGGAGGGTAATCTTCTAGATATTGTTGTTAATCGCCATTTGCTCCAAAAGTTTAAGCTGTTAGAGATGGTGTAACGTAAGTATCTATATTCTTTAATACGCCTCCTCACATGTGGCCAGATTTTGGTTCAACAAGTGTATCAATCTTAATTATTTGGGTCGTGACGAGTTTGAAGACCTTGTCTACGTTGATACCATGTTAACCAACATATACTCAAAAGCTTAAGTTGTAAAGAAGGTGTAATTTAAGTATTTATATTCTCAATTACACACATATGTACAAATAAATTATTAGATAGTTAATATCATTTCAATTTAATTTTTATTTGTTTTTCCTTTTGGAAAAAAATTAATCTCATTTCAATCTAGTATTTAGTCATGTGGATTCCATTTCAATTCTCATCAAAACAAACTTTTCTCCCTTGGCTAAGACATCACTTTCTGTAAACATTTCAATTCGCACTAGAAAAATACACTCCTTCAATAGTTTTTATATTCTTGTCCTCTATTGTACGAGTTTATATAGTGGTGTCCTTTACTGTAGTTAAATGCCGTCATGGCATCTTAAAGGAAGGAGTGATGTTATGGGTTCGACTCTTACAGTTGAACACAAAAAAAGTGTTAGCATATTTTCTAGTTCTTGATTGTATTTGCTGTGTTGAAGCAGTATTGATACGAACCTAAATACCCTTTTTGAGTATTTGAATTGCAAAAATGACTTTGAAATGTCCTGTAATTCAGTTTTTTGCCCATTTAGATTTTAGGTTCATATCGGTTAGGGTTATGCAACCCATTAAAGATTTAGTCATGAAAATTTTAGAGAAAATGGGATTAGATCTGACCCCAAACCAATTAGTCTTAAACTCGGTTGACAAAAATACTGGGCAAGAAGCATCAAAACGACCTCGTCTGTGGCTTAAGGTGAATTACTAAACCAAAAGGTTTAGCAAGGCAAAACCATAATGATCTTACTTTTATTGATTAATCTATGCCGAGCAGTTAAACTTATTTATGATCATTTTAGATGTGATGCGGCTATCCTTTTTACCATGCTGAGGGACATAGTCCTATCTAGTAGAAGACTTGATAGATGAAATAAGAATTTGTGAATGTCATAATGGAGAATTCATTGGAATCGTTAGCTCACGTGATACGCATTGATGAATTCCAAGCTGCATTGTTACAAGGGGAGTCTTGTCCCCCATCGGATCCGGATGGGAAGTGAAATGGATACATATGGGCTGGGTGTTAGCCCCACCTAATAGTTTAAGCTTTTGGGTCGGATCACAAAGCACCTAGACCGTTACAACCATCTACTTCTATTTTAAATTTGAAGCTTTTCCTGAAACTTTGTATTCTATGGCAAAAACAAGATGCTCCAATTTCTCTTATGAGAAGGATGCAGTGGAAATGCAAAGGTTTTAATCCTTTTCTAATAATCAATTCTAGTATTTTTTTTTTTTTTTAAGTAATCATAATATGAGTTAAATTATGGAACGGAACTTTTTATTTGAAAATTATGTTTCATACAGTGCTCTTCTGGAAGTTATCTTTATATTGGCACTAATGCAGCGCAGTTCTGGACAAGGAAAGAAAGAAAAACTAATTTAGCTTTTTCTAACTGCCTATTTCAAATTAATCTTGGCAAATGCTTATGTAGAATCACTATGTTCATTTTCCGAAGTCAATTGCCAACCAACAAAATATCCCGTGGAGTACCACCTTGGAGCAACCTCTTGGTGTTTGGCCATCTGTTTCCCGTCCGCATTTGAATTTGAGTTACTCATGATATGCTGGTCGAAGGGGAGGAGGAAAAAGAGTGTAAAAGTTTTACACCTTCATTATTGAACATGATGCTTCATTTTCCTTTTTTTTCCCAGGAGTTTTCATAATTGCAAGTTACTTTTTTAAATAACCCCTGAAACATAGGAAAAACGAGTTTAACCGTTAAGTGTTAATTAGTATTTACTTAAGGCCATTAAAAAGGTGTGTGTTCATTATGCCTAGGTGCCCTTGGACTGCTATAATTCCCTTGTTTGAATTTGAGTTACTTATGCTTGTCAAAGTGGGTGACAAAAAGGAAACTGGAAAATTTACACCTCCATTAATTAGTAAACATGATATTTCAGTTCTTGGTGTCCTTGGACTGCTACAATAGTCATTTACTCATTCTTTCTTTTTGGCTTCCTTAACTGCCGTAAACATTGGACATTGGCAGGCAGAAACTGCTATTTCTGAGTGGCACAATCGTGTGCTCTGCTACAGGTGAACTTGTGCTGTCATTATACAGTTATGCCTGGCATTCTATTAGTTGAAAAGAATCATTGGGGTCAAATGGTGGTTGTTTTGAAGATTATTAATCACTGATAGTAATCGGATGTATTCCGTCAAATTAATTCACATAGAATTAAAACCTTGGTGGGTACCATTAGATTGTCAATTGGCATTCCTTCCCGCCTTCATTTGCACCGGGTGTTTTGAAGGTTCTCCTTATTGCAAAAGACATTCTGACTGGTTTTCCCTTTTTAATATGTCAATCAAATTAAGTGCATTGGCGAAAGAGTGTGCAGCTCTTAATAATTGGGTATTGAAATTTTTTTTGAATATTTTGAGGCAATGAAAACATCTTAGTAAAAATTTTATAATTTTTCTTGGATTTTCTTCAAAAATCTTAATTGAAATCATTTCTTGCAGGGCTTAGAGGATGAAGAAAATAATCAAGTAGTGCGTGTAATCCCTGCCGGATTGGTAGACAAGTCTGAGTGTTCCATTAAATTGAGTACTCTACATAAAGTCAATGAGATGAATTTAATTTGTGCTGTTTTGACTGGGCACCTTGATCCTTCTATCTTAATATCACCACCTGGTAAGAATTCAAATTGTATTGTGGATTACTGCACCTTGTTTCTAATTAACTGAAATTTTCTGAAAACAAAGTTATTTACTTTTTTCTTTAATTCAAAAGGTCAAACCTTTAAGCAGAAAAAAAAAATTTCTTTGCATGCCTGGTAGAAAAACCCAACAACATCACTAAAAATGTGAAACTTTTACAAGTTCCGAATGTCACTCAGAGAATGTAACTATTGCATGGAGACAGAATCTTGGAAAGTTAAACAGATTTTAAGCTTCTTGTAATATTGTATTATGATGCCTCATCATGCATTTACAACCGCCACCACGCACATACACCCCATTTCAAGTTTGTAATGTTGTCCTTGTAAAGAAACGATGAGAAATTCATCCTCCACTTTGGTGTTTTAAGATTTGGATTGATTAATTTTAGAGGAAATATTTTCATATTTCCCATTTACCCGCTTTCTAGCAATGCAGGAATTCTTTAGTTTCTCATAATTCTTGCTCCACCTTGATGTTTTTTTGTTTTATTTTTTCTCACTATAACTGTACATATTATTTATATTTTTTCTTCTTCATTCATTATTTTTAACATATATGAACTTGTGTATACATATATAATTTTACTTTGGTACTTTCAAGGGCCCTGGCCTATTTACTAGTGCCTACTGCCTTTGACAATGCTGCCATTTGCCATAAGTGCCTTTACAATCCTTTTTGGACTTATTCCATTAATTAAGAAACGATTTTTTGTAGATATAAAAATTTAAAATGTAAAAAGTTGGAAATTTATTTAACTGTCTGTCTCATAAACTCTTATTCCATAACATTTTGCTTTTGCTGTGTTAAAACATTGGTTGCTTATTTAGTCTTTGAAAGTTTCAGCATGCACCTATATGCTCTCCAAATGTAAACCGGCTCAGGAATACAAGTTATTTCCTGTTTATATAGTCAAGGACCTTATCCGGATATTAGATTTACTTGCTTATGATGCAAGTTGTTAAAATAGATAGAATAAATGCGGTTGTTTGCATACAAAAAAGACATTTTCCCCATTTTAATCAACGGATTTACCTAAATAAATGTCCTTTGCAGTTGTAGTCTCATCTTCAACTTCCACAGATGAGACAGTGGTGGCAGATTCTGATGAAGAAATAGAAACAGCAACATCAGTTCACATGTCTCCCAATGTTCACACCTCTTCCACTATTCACACGTTCGAAGGCAGTAAACATGAGAGCAAAGGGGCAGAAATAGAAACAGCAAAATCAGTTCACACGTCTCCCACTGTTCACATATTAGAAGGCATTAAACATGAGAGCAAAGGGGTATCTTCTATGAATCATGCTGCTGCTGGACTAGAGACCGGTCATATTACTTGTTCTAGGGACAGAAATGATAGTATCACAGTAAAAAGAGACGAGATTGATGAATCAGAAAGTGGAAATTTGGATATTATATACAGTCAAGATTTAATTGTTAGAGATACCAACTTACCGGCTACAGTCTATTCTTCAACAAACAGTGGGGCCCCGAATTTCAAATGCTTCAGAAAGGTGAATAATCTCCCATGTTCTGCAATAATGATTCAAGTTGGACACAATGAGTTTTGGGTTGTCTGCATAAATTCCAAAGACATGCTTTCTGTCTTTTCCTCATTTTACTGTTACCATTATTCTTGATTCTTGGTGGAGAAGGTTGTTCTGTCAACTCTATTTATTTCTTCTTCTTGTTAACACGAGCCAATTTTTTAGTATAATTTTACGGTTCTTGGGTATAAGAAAGGGAAAGGAGGAGGAGGGGAGGGAGGGAGGGGGGTTATTGCTAATGGTAAAAACCCTAATTTTCAAGCGTGACAATGCATGAATTTGTTTTTCCAATGTCATGTTAAAAGTTTATTCTGTGTAGTCTCCCCTCCTAGGATCCCTTATATACTGGGTAACGACCTTCTCAGCTGTAGGCTAGAAAAACCTGCAGAAGCTTTTCCTGATAACCTGGTCGGGAGAGCCTTTGACTACTTCAATGATTTGTTTATTGGTGATTGCTATTATTATACCCAAAAGGAAATGTCTCGACATTTTGTTGCAAAATATTGTTGGTAAGTTATTTACCTAGTTGATTACCTTGGCTTATTTAGGATTTCACTTTCTGTAATTTGTAATCTGCAATATATCCTATGCTGGCATATATATCCTATTACATCATTATTATTATTTTTCAATTTGTTGATTTTCTTATATAATGTTTTGTATTCATTTTGTTTGTTGACCATGAAATGTACTTGTAGAGAAGGACTCAATCAGGGAATAGCTTCAGCAATCTTATTCCATTTTCAAAATATCCATACAAGTATGGACCATATTTCTATTCCTATTTTGAATCTTGTACAGTCTCCAAAAATTATTAGGTGAATTACATTTAAATTTGCGTTTTAAATGGCAGAGATTCTGACTATGGGAATGAGGAAGTACTTGAGTCCGTAAAAGAAGAAAAAAAGAGAAAACAGATGGAGGCTATCGCAGAGGATTTGTTCCACAATGAGAAGGTGAGTGGTGTAAACAATTTTATTAAAATTTGATGAGGACTTCTCTGAGTATTGCTTCCTTTTCAACATGATATAGGGGAAGCGACGTCGGGCAGCTGGTTCTATCCATGGACATTTTGGTCTTAGTTGACCGAGGTAATTGTGTTGCTTGCATGTGTAAAGTAAATTACATTTCTACAACTACTACTTGTATTGCTTAATATTTTCAAATATTTCAAGACTCAGGAGCTTGTGTTTTTAATCTCTGCCCAGAAAACTTTCTTCTTATGTGCTCGAAATAGCTCTTCAATAGATATATAGAAAATTGTATGAGCGTTCTATTTAGGAGACCAACATATTTCAACATGAGGGGGCAGTTCTTGTAGCAATTATTGCATGAAAATAATATAGTAAATATGCTCAAAATTTTAATTCTACTTCTTAGTTTATAGCAATACGCACTATATACATATAAAAATTATGAGCGAGGGATCTTCTGGTTATGTTTGTTATATGGGTGTGTGAGCGGATAACGTCTTCAAAATTCTCCCGTTCGTTTTAGGGTTATTTTCTTTTTGTGGTTGGTGAACTTCGTTGGACTCCCCTTTCACGACTTGATGTTATAATTTGTCAAGTTCGATTTATTGTGAGGTCTGGCATTATCAGATCCACCCATTTTCATTTTCTTTACGATCAATGTTCCTGGTTGGCTAAGCAGTGTAATCCCTGAGATTTGCATGCCCTAAGATATTGTTTGTTCTGATCGTTGGCATACCTCTAGTGAATTATTTTACATTATTGAATATTATGTCTTCCTCATCGTCGAGGGCGGGCCGTAGCATAATGGTAAGGTTACAGATTTGAAGCCGAAAACAGTCTCTCCATTTTGACTCTTTCCGGATCTCGCAATGACGAGAGTCTCGTATGCTAGGCTAGCCCCTTGGATGACTGTTGCCTAATGCAACTCAAGAACTACTAGGAAGTTCATTAGCTTCATTCATTTTTTATGGATTGATTTGGAAGAAGAGGAATTGGGCTCGTGGCCTGTTACGGAAGCCCATTTTGGCAGCTGCTGCAATCTATTTATGCTACTTGGTATTGCAGGTTATGAGCATTATCCAAACAAACCTTGAATGAAGCCCAATTAAGACCCTATATTGGGATTGGTCCAAAATCTTTTTTTTATTAAAAAAAAAAAAAAAATTTGAAGCTTGGTTTTCTTGTAATACCATCATTTATTAAATAAAAAAAATGCTGAACGTGCAGAGTTAAAAATTTTAGGATAAATTTGTATATTCTAATTAAAATTTAAAAGCCACCACAGCTTTTCTTACTCGTATTTGAAACCTAGATTTTGTGAATATATATATATATATTTTTTTTAAACAAAATTCCAACTAATTCTGTAGGGGGCAACCTCTGGAAGTTGATCTGTATTAAATTTTGGGAAGTTGATTTTCAAAAAAAAAAAATTTGAAGCTTGGTTTTCTTGTAATACCATCATTTATTAAAAAAAAAATGCTGAACGTGCAGAGTTAAAAATTTTGGGATAAATTTGTATATTCTAATTAAAATTTAAAAGCCACCACAGCTTTTCTTACTCGTATTAGAAACCTAGATTTTGTGAATATTTTTTTTTTTTTTTTTTAAACAAAATTCCAACTAATTCTGTAGGGGGCAACCTCTGGAAGTTGATCTGTATTATATTACGGAAATGATTTTCATTTTGAAATCGATAATACCGGATGGAGGAGCTTAGGCTCTTTCAAGTCGCAATAGAGTAATTTCATCGTTACCTCAAGGTTCATACTCTCAAAATGTTTATCAAAATCACAATAGCACGTAAGGACAATAAAAATCATATTTTCTCTATAATAATGAACTATATATTGAATTTTTTTTGCAGGCTAAAGAAATTAGGCAGCTTAATTGTTTGACAACTTCATCATCTCTAGCAGCAACCAGACTTCAACAAACACACTTTGACAAGCCTATAAAATTACAAAGGAAAATGTCAGCAACATTAGTCTTTCACCAACTACCTAAACACAAACATTAAATTAATGGAATCTTAATTTATTCACAAAACATTTTTCAAATATATATACATTTATATATATATATTATTTTATTTTATTTTTATTTATTACATGGTGTTGTGCTCACCAAAAACAACTGAGGTTGTGCCTTGAAAGTCAAGAAGTATATTATCACATGTGGCCCACCTTGACATCAATGAAATTGACTTTCAACAACGCGTCGTGTCATTACTACTTTGTGTGGTTTTAATAGTCCAAGAAGCTTCTATAAAGAGAGCAACTTTGACTCAGCTGCCCATTTTGCTTGTTGCCTTTTCTTTCTTTCCCATATTTTCTTCCTCACGCTCCAATTCTTAGTTTTATTATTATCTACTCTACTAGTTTGCTTCTTAATTAATTGTTAATCATTATATTCCATTTGGACCTCTATGATTTCAACTGAATGAATTTAATTTAGTAATTACATTTAAGTTTTAATAGCATGCATGAATTAATTTTAAAGTATGTCCGGCGAGTTCGAATCAAGAAATAATCCACCGGCAGCATGTAAAAGAGGTAAAATTGTGTATGTTTAACTGTTCTGTTCAGTCCCACAATGACGAAAGTCTGGTGCACTGGACTAGCACTGGTACCTTTAGTTTAGCATAATTTTGAAATCTTTTTATTTATTCAAATACCTTGATTAGATCCATTTATTTAAATACTATATAGAAGAGTCCTTTTAGTTTTTACTCTTAAAATCCAATACACTACAATTATTTAAATACTCTTAAATTTCATTTTTGAAAGTTAATTGAATCATTTTTGTATTAAAAAAACCAAATACAATAAAGTGTGCATATAACATCTTAAGAAAATGACTTTAACAAAAAAATAAAAAATAATAAGTAATCATCATATAATTTAGATTGCTTCTGCTTGATGCTTATTAAAGCATCGCAAGAGTCGGCTTTAATTTAAATTGAACTTTTCATGGTCTCAATTTGACGTGACGCGTTTGCTTTCATCAATAATATAATAATTTATTGGGAGTCCTTGTTTTTTGAAAATATCATAATCTTTTTGTCGACTACCAAAATGATGCCAATAAGAGGATGTTTTCACACTCAGATATTCTTCAATTACAATGTAACACTAAAATTAACTAACCAAATCTCAACTAATTAAATAAATTATTCCATGTTGTGACAGTCATTTTGATTTGTGATACCTTAAAATTTCACACATAACACGTGTGACTAATATTATATATATATATATATATATATATATATATATATATATTTCATAGCTACAAATTTACACTTAGATTGGGACGAATCCTCAACTTTTTACTGATGAAGAAATATAACTAGACTACATCTTTTAATTATATGTGTGTGTGTGTGTGTGTTTTGGCATAAGCCACATAACCCATAGCAATAACACAAAGGAAGCAATCAATCAATCTAGATTGTTTGAAATTTGATTAAATCCAATATAGTATCTATGGATATATAAGAAATGTATTGAATTGATTGAATGTATTGAACAATATAATATAGAAGTAAAGATTATAAACACGATACTGTACCTTAAGTAGGCGATGGCATTGCTCGTATTCATGTTTACGAGTCCGGCGAGCTACCAAACTACTCCGAAAACAAGAAAATTATACAAGTAATTTATTTATTTATTTATTTAACCAAGTCCTCCCCACGCTTTCAAGGACTAGAGATGAAATAATGATCCTTCTAGGAATATTAAACTCTATGATCCATCTAAGAAATATTAAACTTTATTTTTTTAAAATTTATGTGAACTTATTTTATATTATTGACATAGCTAATCTTTTGATTTAATTGGTTCTTTATGATATATATATATATATATATATATATATATATTATAAAGACTTGCAGTACTTGCGCTCTCTCAATAAGAAACTTTCAACATTTCCCCACACTGCAACGCGTTAGTATTCGACATTAAAACCACTATTTCCACGCCTCCCAACAGTCTTTTTAAGTAACCTGCTGATAGAACATTGAGGCATGTGTGAAGACATTACAAGCCTTCCTAGAAAGAGACTCTACACCCTCTAAATCCAAAGTCAAAAAGGGAAGCTCCAAAGCTTCAACAAAATCAACCGTCCACATGACACCTAACAAGCATATATCTATATCTATCTCTATATCTATATCTATATCTATATATATGTGTATGTATGTACTTGTATAACAATCAGCCTTCATTTCCAAGGCCCTATATTAGACACAGTTTTGTAGCAGAAAGGAGAAAAAAAGAGAAGAGTACCTTTGGTAGTGCATTCTAGCTTTCTGAGTTATATCAATACATGGCTGATCAACAGAGAATCCACCCGGTCCAGGACCCCGAGGCGCCACAGAATCCTACCGCCCCATTAGTTCCCCGTGACTCGTCCAGGTCCGACAAAGGCATGCCGGTGGAGCAGTACCCACCATTCCAGCGTACGATCCCGGTGCATTACGCGAAACCACCCAAGAATAGAAACTGTTTCCGCAAGTGCCTGTGTTGGACAATCTTCCTCCTCATACTACAGATTATTATCATTGCTTTACTTGCTGGGATCATATTTCTTATCTTCAGACCAAAACTACCAAAATACTCTATCGATAGCCTGAGAATAACACAGTTCACTCTCAACACTGACAACAGCTTGTATGCCACGTTCAACGTGAACATCACAGCTAGAAACCCCAACAAGAAGATTGGTATATACTACGAGGGTGGTAGCAATATAGGTGTCTGGTACACTGGCACTAAACTCTGTGAAGGTTCTTTGCCAAAGTTTTACCAGGGTCACCGGAACACGACGGTGCTCGACGTGGCGTTGACGGGACAAACACAGAACGCAAACAATCTGCTGTCGTCACTGCAGGCGCAACAACAGACGGGAAGTATTCCTTTGAATCTCAGAGTGAAAGTGCCGGTGAGGATTAAGCTCGGGAAGTTGAAGTTGCCGAAGGTGAAATTTGTGGTCAGGTGCAGGGTGGTGGTGGATAGCTTGACTGCTGATAATGTTATTAGTATTAAAAGTAGTAGTTGTAAGTTCAGGTTTAGGCTCTAATTTCCTTACTTTTAGTTGTTATGCCATGCTTGTATTACTATTATTTTTATTTTTTTTTTATTATTTTTATACTGGCATTCTTTTTTCTGTTGTATGTATAGAACGGGAGGATTAGGGGTGGTTTCTTCCTCCGATTTACTATTCATAGATTGATGTTCCCTTCTATTTTATATACTCAGACACTGTTACATATCGATTTTTTCATGAAGAATAAATTATATACACACAGACGTTTCTGTACTCAATTGAGTCCCTCAAAATGTTTATGGTTGCTCCGAAAGTAATTTGGTTTTGTGCTCCAGAAAAGGAAGCCGCTAGGTTTCATTGACAGTGTGGGAGGTTGGTTTCCCCTAAATGGTTAACTCCGTGATCATGGATTGGGAAGTTAGTTTCGCCTAAATGGTCAACTCCATGATCATGGCAAGGACTGATAGCCAATTCCAGACTTCAGAAGTATTCAAGCAAATTATACATGTCGGCTAACGATCCCCTCCAACCCACATGGCCTGTTCACCAATGACCGTAACTTGTGTTTCTAAGTTCATGTCTTAGAGATGCTCCCTATGCAGGCATAAATTGTTTACCTACCACAAACCTTGGCTATAAGATGACTACTAACAGACGCATATTGTAGCTTTTTAATATGTGAAGTTTTGGCCAATACAGTTGCTAGAACAATTTAATATGTGAAGTGTTGGCTAAATGGTTAACTCCGTGATCATGGATTGGGAAGTTAGTTCCACCTAAATGGTCAACTCCATGATCATGGCAAGGACTGATAACCAATTCCAGACTTCAGAAATATTCAAGCAAATTATAGGTGTCGGCTAACGATCCCCTCCAACCCACATGGCCTTTTCACCAATGACCGTAACTTGTGTTTCTAAGTTCATGTCTTAGAGATGCTCCCTATGCAGGCATAAATTGTTTACCTACTACAAACCTTGGCTATAAGATGACTGCTAACAGACGCATATTGTAGCTTTTAATATGTGAAGTGTTGGCCAATACAGTTGCTAGAACAGTAAGAGGTGTTATATTACATTAAGCACTTGTTACCGAATATAAACCGGATATGCAGAGCCTCCTGAACATTGGCTAAAATGGTCCGTCCTCGATTGTGAAATGACGATATCAGGAATCACTATTACAAACCACTGGATCTACTACCTCTCCTAGTAGCCCCCACCTGATACAACCAAATGACTAACACGAGTATGAAGCTTCCTTAACAACAAGAAGGCAGAAACTTCACGGTATGAGCCCCTAGCAGTGCCAGATTAGTCTCCCAGTCCCTATCTTCCAGATGCACACCAAATAATTAACACGAAAAGGCATATCTATTTTGTTTTCCAAAACGCTGTGTGTTTTAGACCCTAATGTCAACTTCATAATAGCTCCCAAGATATCACTTTGTTTTCCAAAACGCGGAGTGTATTAGACCCAAACGTCAACTTCATAATAGCTCCCAAGATATCACTTCGCCGGGACAGCAATAAGATATTTAACTTTCTATGAGCATGAGACATCTCTAAAAGTAGCCAATGAGACAAGTTAACCCAGTTTTTTATTTTTCAGGTTTTCCTAAATTTATTGCATTCAAAACTAGAGGAAAAAATTAAATAGATAGGGAAATGCATCAATTTGCAAGTAGGCATCCAGAATTAAAGTAGGCATATTTATAAGCAGTTCAACACAATTTTAAATTTCTCAGTGTCTTGTATACTCCACTAATCATTTTACTTGAACAGATCCCTTGTAACAACATAAAACTGTTTATACCATGTTGTTCGTCAATGGATAACAGCCTTTAGAGGATGAGCTCTTAGTTTTGACAAATCCAGGTTTGAGTCCAGTTCTTCATCTAATTCCCCCACAATGCTTCTGCAAATGGAAATTGAAAGAAACAATAGGAGTTAATCTACGCGACAAAAAAATTAGTGGACTAACAAATAATCAAAATAATATAGTGGAATTATAAAATAAACCATACATGTTGTCACCCCTTATGATGTATAGACCCAACACAAGTTGCTGGACACCTTCCTGCATATTAAAGGTCAACAATGTTAAAGTTTATTAGAGAAATTGATGAATTTCTATGTGATGGAAATTACAATAAACTAAAATGAAGGAAATTAAAAACAAAGAAAAGGTCAGAAGTATTCGGGATCTACTTGTCAACAGTGGAAAAAAGCACATTAACATTCATAACTGTATTCTCAGCAACATGCAGCAAAACATATAGACAACCATAGCAGACAATATTCATAGTTAACTTCCCCCATAATCAGAACTATAATGCAATTCTTCCCATGATGAAAGCAACCCAAAATACACATCAACCATGTATCAAGAAACACTTTCCAGTGTTTTGTGAGAATGATTAAATTAGAAAACTTATAAAATCTATAGAAATCCTTGAATCCATGTTGGGATTATGAAATAACAAACAAAAATATAACTACAGAAGAAAATTAGGACAATAAACCCACTGAGGAAGCAAAAAACATAAATTTAATAATTAACTGTTTCTCTTTCAAATGAAAAAATGTTGATACTGTATAAAAATGCAAGTTCCTTAGGACATTGAAAAGAGTAACACTTCATGAATAAAATCCAATAGTGTTTCTATGGAAACTAATTCAAACCTTAGTGGAATAAACCCGTTCATGAGATTCATCAAGAATTATATTTGTAGCCTGGTCAAAACCTTTTAGAATTCCCTGAAAACAAAAATATAGAAGTCAGTACTGTAATGGCTTTTGTCACAAAATTTTGCTACCGTGGTCCAAAATAAGAGTCCTCACCACTATATTGCGCCCATCATTAGTAATAACTGAAATTGTTTCTGCAAATAAAAAATTATGTTTCAGAAAACAAAAACGAAAAATAGATCCCCAGATTATATGCTCATTCAGTAAGGAAAATTTTGGATTTAGTAGAGACAATTCATTATTAATAATAATAGTAGCCATTATTCAAGATATCAATTGCCAGGCTACGTGTAAACTAAGAAGAAGAAGAAAATATGTCATAATGGGTTTGATGATCGCATACGATCTACAAGAGATTCAAGCCCAGGCCCACTTGACATTTTGTGAATTAGAACACAACTAACAAGCTGAGTACTTCAACGCAGTGCTGGTCACACCTTTACAAGGTCAGCTGCGAAAAAAAAAAAAAAGGCCAAGTTTAATATAGATGCACATAATTAAAAAAAGGAAAACTTCAACTTGATAAAATATAAGAAAAATATAGGAACCATAGAATTGCAACGAAAAGTTAAAATGGTAGTAGTTTTAAACTTTTGATGGACACTCTCTTTATTTAAATATAAATTAAAAAAGAAAGGTAAAAAAGAAGAGAGGGAGTGAGGAGGGAACACTTCATCCATGAAATGAAAAACTAAAATGTCTTGATCTGGTTAAACTTTACAGAGACATTTATTTCCCAACTATCAATAATGTTATTTTCACATATAGTGTAATGCACTTAATGTGATGTGGGAAAAAAAAATACTAAATGTGATGTCACTTATGGAACAAGGAATATCCTAATTAACTGCAATACAACAATTAAGTGCAAACAAAAAGTTTTAAAAAATATGTGTTTCCTGATGGTGGTAAGATTGAATAAATAATATTTTACTACTGTTGATTGATAAACAATTCATAGCCTTACAAATAAGGATTTTCATCAGGCCAGCACCATTTAAAACACAAAGATCTCAGATATATAATATGCTGATGCTGTTACTTCTTATCAGCCTGTGGAAGAATAGGAAGAAGCCTAAGCTCAAAGTTGAAGACCATTATGACACCATCTTGGAGTTCAAGCTTCTTCAGTATCAAGTGGAATATACTCAACCTACCCCTAGTGGTAGTTCAGAGAAAACTCAAGTTGGCCAGTGTGGAGGAAAAGCACACAATGATGCCTAAAAACTAAAAAGGTAAGTTGTGTGGATTAAATAAAAGACAGGTTTCTGATACCGAAAACGGAAATAGTAATCCTAAGATTTTGTAGATGCTCTCTTTGAATGAGTATAAATTATAAATTACAAAGATGATGCATTCTGACCTTCCTGAAGCCAAATTAGTTACAGTAGTCCAACACTTAGCCCTCAGACACTGAATAGTAACAAACATGGTTCTAACTTCTAAAAAGGGAAGTTATGTGGATTGATTTTTGGCCGATAAGAGGTATTCTATCTATCCAGCAGTTACTCAAACTTCTTGTGATACTTGTGTTATCCTTCTTGCAGAGGCTATTCCAGCTACCCCTGGACCTTCCAAAAGTCATCAATATTCTAAATAATGACGATGAATTACCTTACATCTTGCAGCCGTGGCTAAGGCCAAGAGGGTCAAGCCTCAACTAAGATAGAGAATAACTCCAAAGCTGGATCAGAAGTCTCATAGGTGATTACCTTACTCAAGAGATCAGAAGTCTAAATTTTTTTAGAGCTTTAACCCCTTATGATGTCCTCTCATGTCAGTCAAGAGATAGCTCAAAGTATTACTTTAGGCTTGGAGATGATACAGATAAGACGTTAGCAATGCCAGCCCAAGAAACGATGAATAAGGGTGGGAATGGAACAGAGCAGCCCATCAATACTGAGGTCCCCTCACAAGTGGAACCTCAAGCTTAAATCTCCAAGTAGCATTCTTTAAAGTAAATTCTTATATTAGTGTTGTTCTACTAGTAAACTTCTGAGGGAGGATAAACTAACCCCCTCCTTCCCTTCAATTTAAGAGGATTCCTTATCTGCTCACACTGGTCAGCCTTCTCTAATGTGCCTGTGCGAGCTGAGACTCCAGCCTGACAAGATCGTGCTTCTGACAAGGATCAACCTTTTAAAGGATTGAACCTGTTCTAGTGCTTCTATAGCTGAAGTGGCTAATACCGCCGCCATGGTAACAAAGGTAAAGTTTCCTTGTTTGTAAATTCCATTCTTGTTCTAGCATTGGAGGACAGTTAACCACATTTTTCTCTATGGGCTACATATTCCTTTGTTCCTATAAAATCTGTAAGGTCAGTAGGCTGCCAAGGGAATTCAGAAATAGTATGATTTACCGAAGTGAGGATTTATTCATCTCGCAATTTCTGGTCTTTTGAGCATCCTTTTGAAGTCACGAGGCCAAGCAGACTGGCCAGACCGAGGGTGTCAACGCCTCCTCTACCCCCACAGGAGACAATTCCTGTGAGTACGTTGCAGGAGGTAAACTTTTCGCTATATCAGTCAACTTCCTCACATCAATCTTCCTTTAATGGTTTCTAACTCATTATTCTTCTCTTAGATGACTATAAGCAAGGATCAGACTAAAAATGCCTTAGAACCCCATTGTAATGGACCTTTACTTTGACAACCTCCTGATCTACATAAATGAGGTGCCTCTGATGCAAGGGGAAGTTGAACCCATCCCCTTGGCGCAAGAATCTACCTAAACCAGAAGGAACTAGAAAACCCAGTCTGCTTTCGATAGATGGTTGGCCATGTCCTTCAATCACATTACCTTGACTAGCCAGGCTACTCCATTTCATGCGCAATAAGGAAAAATAATAATAATAATAAATAAATAAATAAGAGGGTTTTGTTAACGAACCAAAAGAGAGTTATAACAGTGGTTCTCCATTATCAACACTGCTGCTAGGAAATCTAGGAATACGGTGAATAACAGTAATGGCTAGACAATAAATATTACCACCAAACACAAAACAAAATTAAGAAGGGAAAAAAACAAAACAAAAAACCTTGAAGAACAAACAATGCTAATGTTGGTTACAAAAGACAATGATATATATTCAACCTGAGATCGTTTCTGAATTTGAGCCATCGTTCTCACTCAAAATGGAGCTATTCTAAATACAAGCAGTCTGGGTTGGCAATTTTGTCGAACAGTTGGCGTGTTACTTCAGAAGGTGTGTGCTTGTAATTGCGTGATGTGTTGGTGGGGTTTAAAAATAAATAAATAAAGATTATTTGGGAAGATGAGATGCTTTAGAACTACCTCTTTAGTGTAGAAGAGAGAAGGCGGCCACCGTTGGTGCTTTCCAAGTCGATCCTTGCGGTGCTGTGGCTTATCGTCTGTGACAGTGGTCTGTTTGGGGGGAGAGAACAACTTTCACGAGCAGTACGTCCCGCGCTTAATTGTGCAGTAGGGATGGTAATTTGACCCGCGGGACCGGTACCTGCCCCGTCTGCTCTGTTTATAGCAATTTTGGGGATCATTTAGCTTATTTAAGGACAAATAATTTCTATTAATGAAAACTCGTGCCAATTCGGGACGGGAAAGGGAGGTCACCCCACTCATTTAGGTAGGTAAATTATTAAATTACTCTTATTTTTTTTAAGAGCAATGCTAAACACAGTCGCTAAGCCGACTGTGAATTAACAGTTCCTCTTGTCATTAGTCCTAATAGTTATAATTAATGTATTTATTAATTGTACGTTTTCTATTTTTATGAAACACTAAAAATATATATATTTTTTGACAATATTACCCTTTTAGTCTCTCTCCTTACTTGAACTATATCAAAAGTGTCATTAATACATTAGATGTTTCCTACTTTTAATAGGACATTAAATAATTAATTTTAACACAAAACTACCTTATTTATTTCTTTTATTTGCCTCTACTTTTCACCCCTTCATCAGTGTGTTTACTTACATGCATATATATATATACACACACATATAATAATGGATTCTTTTATTTTTTTTAGTTATTGTTTAACAGTGAGTTGAGGGATAATATATATATATATATATAATTAAATTTTATAGAGAATGAATTCTTATCTCTCAATAAGAAAAATAAAAAATAAAAAATAAAAAATTTTATCCCTCAACTATCACTGTTAAACAATAACTAAAAGAAAAAAAAAAAAAAAAAAACAAATCGATTATTATATATGTGTGTGTAAACACACAAACGAAAGGGTGGGAAGTAGAGACAAATGAAATAAATAAGGTAGTTTTGTGTTAAAATTAATTATTTAATGTCCTATTAAAAGTGGAAAAGATGTAATGTTTTAATGACATCTTTGATATGGTTTAAGTGAGGAGAGAGACTAAAAGGGTAGTATTGTCAAAAAAATAAATATTTTTAGGGTTTCATAAAAATAGAAAACATACCATTAATAAATACATTAATTACAAATATTAGGACCAATGAAAAGAGCGACTGTTAATTAGCATTGCTCTTTTTTTAATATATATAGTTAGCTCTAAAAACCTTAAGTCACATTCACTTATTTTCTCAACTATTTTATTGAGCAGCAAAACCCTATGAACTAAGAACACTCGTACCTTTGAATTTTATTTTAAATTATTGATTGTCCATTTGTTATGATTTTTTTCAATAGTTATATAATTATATTTAAGGGAAAAAAATTTAAAAATGAGGAGAAATTTTGGAACTAAACGGGGCGAGGCGGGTGTCCAAGAGGATAAAAAAGTTAAATGGGGGCAGGGATGGGTGAAAAGGTCCCCCGTGTAAGCAGTTTTGGGCAAGGGTTTCTAAACGGTTGTGGGGGCGGGGAGGGTACATTAGCCCAAAACCGCCCCTGTTGCCATCCCTAGATGAAAACGGTGTAGATTAGAACTGAACTCATTCTCGTCCCGGTTTAGCATAACTCTCCAACCACTTCAAAATCGTTAATTTTATAGGATAGAGAAGGCTGGACCGATTTAGGAGAGTTTTGTAATTGTATTACTAATTTTATAATCTTGGTAATAATTCATTTTCTCTTATGTTTGCAAGATCAATTTCCAATTAAAACTTGAGATTTTAATGTTATTGTAAAAATATCAAATAAGAATAATACATAACGATTTAGTGTTATTATAAAATTATCAAAAGAATACATAAAGTTTCTCAAATAAATTTACACTACATCAAGTAATTAGAATAGGATAGATACTCTAAGGTTTATTCTTTAATATTTACCTAACATGTTTAGTAAACAAATAAATTATAAGAACAAAATTACAATATACCACTATAAATAGGCAAGGGGCGGGTGATCTTTTTTTTTTTTTTTTTTTTTTTTTTATTTTTTTTTTATTTTTTTTTTATCTCCGCGTGAGTTTTCAATCTCTAACTCTATTTTCATTCCAAAATCATTTCACCACCAGATGTTTATAGTGGAGCGGGGTGGGGCAGCCCCGCAGATGTTTTTTTATCCCTAGCCGACACATGTACATTTAGAAAATGTATATATGAAAGACGAGACGTGGGCACTTAGGAGACATATGCATGTGAGACGAGAGTTTTACTTTCTTTCAGAGTTGTGTAAGAAATATGTCACACATCTACATGTAATATGTCGCACGTCTACATGCGAGACTACGTCTGAATATTTTCTAGAATTGTGTTGGGAATTTTGGAATATTGAAGGGGAAGTTTTGTAGATAGACAGGAAGAGTAGAATGTTAAAGAGGCAGATAGTTTCTAAAAGTTTTGAAAGGATGTCTATAAATAATGAAACAGACTTGACTATTCGAAATAATAGAATTATTCCCCACATAATCATTCCACACAATTGTCATTATCCTTATGATTTAGAAAAGTTGAAACCAAATTTCACTTTAAGTGTTGAGAAGATAATAAAAATTAAGACATAGATATGATTTTAGAAATATGTGAATAATAAAAAGAGAATTGAATTTATAACTATTACTAGTCTAGCATTCATTGTTAATATTGTTTATTTGAATAAATAAATATATGTGAAATTAATAAATTTAAGATAATATTAGATTAAAAATTTAGAAGAAATATTTTATAAATTAAATACATAAATAAATTAATGTTACTTGAAAATAACCTCAAATTATCTACCTACTATATTTCTTACACAACTGAATCAAAATCACTTATCTAATATTCTTTCATCCACATGAACATTAATATTTTCACCCATTTTAAAAATAACCTCGAATTATCCCCATAAATTTTCAATATCACAAAGTTTAATAATTTGATCATGTAAAACTAACATGGAGCCTCAACACTCTTGTAGACAATAATTTTAGTGTGAATTGGGCTCAAATCTTCAACCTTAATTGGAATGGGAATGAATTCTCTGGACTTGGACCAGTTAAACTTCAAGACCTACCAAGCTAGCAATCCCAACCCACGCCCATTTAAAACAAACAAACTCGAGTCCGATTGACAAGAAAGGAAGGGTCAAAAACTTTTCCACCCATCGAGAGAATTAGAGAGGAAAATGGCATCCATTTCCTTTCCTTCCTCTCGGAGCTGCTTCTGCGTTGTGAATCCCAGTCCCTGTTCCACCAACCCTCCTCATCTCTCGAATCCTCCAACCAATCCGACCGTTCAGCTCTGGGCACACCACCATGTCAGAAGAAGAAGAGTGTCAGTGTCTGTGTCACCTCTTCCCTCTCCTCTTTCCACGTCGAGAGTTTATCCATATCACTTCAAAATCAACAAAAACAGGCTCAGCCATGTCAATTTCAGACTCAATTCAGTTAATTGCTTTAGCGAAAGATCATCAGAATCTGAAACCCAAGTGGGTTCGTCGTATCACCCCAAAATCAGTAAAACGAAGCTCAACCATGTCAATTTCAGACCCCATTTAGTCAATTGCGTCAGTGAAAGATCAGCAGAATCTGAAACCCAAGTGGGTTCGTCGTCGGCCGGAGTCGATGGCGTTGACACTGGGCTCGACGTGGAATGTCTCGTGACGTCTTCTTCATCCTCTGAAGCGGATGAGCTGTTGAAGAGCTCGACAATGGAGATTACAGAGGATTCGTCTTCATTGATGATGGAATTATGGGAATGGGCACTGCTGATTTCGCCATTCTTCTTCTGGGGAACGGCTATGGTGGCCATGAAGGAAGTGTTGCCCAAGACTGGTCCTTTCTTCATATCGGCATTCCGGCTTATACCGGCCGGTTTTCTATTGGTTGCCTTCGCTGCCTCACGAGGTCGGAATTTCCCTTCTGGACTCACTGCTTGGCTCTCCATCTCTCTCTTTGCACTCGTTGATGCTACATGTTTTCAGGTCTTTCCTTTCCCCCTTTCCTTTTTCAACATATTATATATATAATGTGAACCAGGATCCTCTTCATTTTTGTCCAAAATGCCCTGTATGGAACACAACAACTTTAAATTGTCAATGCAACAACTACGTAAATGTGTTAAATTCTCGATTTGATGGTGTTATAATGTGGCAACACAATGTAATATGTTGCATGAGAATTGTATTAATGTTTTGCATTTTTTAAAAGTTGTTACATGGGTGTTGCATTTTGTGTGATGTAGCTGTGTTGCATTGTGATATAGTTGTGTTGCACTGTGATGTAGCCATGTTGCACCAGTGCACAAGATGAGTGCAAAGGATTCCCTAAAGAGGAGGGGATCGTATAATGTATATGTGTATAGATTATATTATTGAATTTTTCTGATAAAGCAAAAGATTTAACTTTTTGCCATGGTCTTGTAATGCTGGACAGGGTTTTCTTGCAGAAGGATTAGAAAGGACATCAGCAGGTCTGGGCAGTGTATGTAATACTCTTCTTTGCTTTATCAAATTGTAAAGTTTCATTCCATCTGCAAGTTTGAGGACTTAGAATAAGTAAAGTCTATTGGGAATTAGTGGGTAATTTTTGTTCTTTTTTCTTGTTTTAAGCTTAAGTTGTTTAGGGCTTTTTTTTTTTTTTTTTTTTTTTTTTTTTTTCCTGAATGTTTTTTGACACACACACACACACACACACACACATAATAAAATAAAAAAACTCTTTATTTTAAACTTAAGTTGTTTAGTTAACCTCAGTGCAGTTCAGAATCAAAATTGTAAAATTCATGCAAAACTTTATTTTGCTAGTTTTATTTTATGTATTTTAAGAGAATCTTCATTGCCAGATAATCAATGTTTTAGAATTGTGTAAATGATAATAAATTAAGTTCTATGCATGCGATAACACTTTAGGCTTACCCAATAGTGCAGTGACATGGATACTCAGGCACGGATCTGTTAAGGGCTGAGTGGGGGCATGCGTCCCCACTGAAATTTTTTATTTTTACATTTTATACCCCTAAAATTATACTTTTTTGCATTTATACCTATAAAATTTTAAAATTGCCCCCACTGAAATTATGAAAAAATTCCTCTATATAAAATTGCCCCCCGTCATATGAATTCCTAGATCCGTCCCTGTGGATATTCCTGCTCCTAGGACGTTTTCATTTCGTTTAAACAATAAAAAGATGGTATACGATTACTTCTGTCATGCGCTTGTGCCATTTGTAATATTTTTATTATTATTATTATTTTTTTAAACTGAAATATTTCAATTTGATTGATGTTTCTATGTGTGAATGGTAATGGCTAAGAGTTTGAACAAACTATTGCAGGTTATAATTGATTCACAGCCGTTGACCGTGGCTGTACTTGCTGCATTGTTATTTGGTGAATCTATTGGGTTGGTTGGAGCTGCTGGGTTAGTTCTTGGTGTCATAGGTCTTTTACTTCTTGAGGTATTTATATCTTTTAAACCTGGATTTCTCCTTGCTTCTTTTTATATTGAAGTCAAGTTGATTACAAAAGAAAAAGAAAGGGAAATCTTATCCAGGGAGGTAGTTATAGAGAAAAAAAAAGTATGCAAAGCTTCATTTTTTACCCATGTTGATATGTAGAAGAGCTACTTGACATGTATTTCAGTGCTTGTCAAGCTGCCTGTTGGATGCATTCTACTTTTTTATTCTTGTTAATAAAATATACGGTTCTTGTAAAATAGCTGCTATATTCTTTTATGTATCTGGTGCTTTTTTGTCAACATCTTGTTATATGGTGGTGGAAGATTAATTATATATATTGCATCATTCATCCCTCTTCACGAGTAATTATCATGCCACACGTAGGGAAAGTTATGGTATTCTGGATGCTTATGGTTTAGTACTCATGTACTTCATTTAAAATAAAATAATTAAAAAATAGTGCTTTTTGTGTAAAGGTGAATAATTACATTTAGAAAGATATAGTAAGTTCAGATGAATGCACCCATTGACATGGTCAAATATATCAATGTGCATGCCTGACCACTGGTTGAATAACATTTGTGTTGAAAAGGAAATTTTACATCAAACCTTGCTGTTTCTGCGGTGGTTTAGATTGTTTACCTCTTAATTCGAACCAAAGAGCATCAACGTCAGTGTGCAGATTTGAATGTATGAATTCACGCATAACTTCTTTGGTGCTTCTGTTTTTCAGTTTTTACCATAAAAACCAGTCTTCATACACCCCCAGAACACCAGCCCTTGATGGAAATCCCTTTTAACCTTCGAGTTAACATGGTGCAAATAACAGATTTCATCAATTAATTGAAGCTTTATATATTATACTCTTTAGACCTACAACCATACAATCAGATGACGTCTAAAGCCAAAGATACCCTGTAAAATTACACAAAACCTAATCCAATCGTCCAAGCACTCATCATGCATCTATGCAGTTCAATCATGTAATGTATCTTCAGTAAAAGGTGGAAGAATAGCATGACCTGTGCTCATTGTGCAGCTTCTTGTAATGTAATTGATCTGATGTCCTATGCCATTTTGTTATCATTTGGATAGAGTACTTTTATGTAATATGGTTACTGTTGGTGCAAAGAGAAATGTCACAGTATTTACGTGTCTGCCTATACTGCTTTAGTATAGTGATGAGAATTATCTTCCAGGTACCTGCACTTGCTTTTGATGAGAGTAACTTTTCATTGTGGGGAAGCGGGGAGTGGTGGATGCTTCTTGCAGCGCAAAGCATGGCAGTTGGTACTGTCATGGTCCGCTGGGTTTCCAAGTACTCTGATCCTGTCATGGCTACTGGATGGGTAAAATGTACCACCTTACTTGATTATTAGCTTATTATTGATCTTATATGATTGAATAATGTACCCTAGAATTGACGATTACGCCATAGAAATTTTTTTGTAGCCCATGATTGGGATTGTACCCTTTTAGTAGGATTTTTAATGTGTCCAAAAATTTCTCATTATTCTCAATTCCATCTACTTGGGTTGGCTAACAGAATCCCTTTTCATCAGTCATACACCATAGAACTCAAATTGTAGTTACGTTCTTAAGAATCATGTCTTGTCTTATAACCATGCTTCTCCTAGGTCTTTCTCCGTTCATTTTTCTACTTTCTGATATCAGTCTTTTGTACCGATGAATTCAATAGTCTTTGTTGCATATTGCCGAATCTCTTTGTCTTTAATTTGCAGCACCTTTTTATTTATTGAGAACACACATGCATATATATTCATGTACCCAGTCATCCTTATTAAAATCCTTATTTCAACTAGTAACATCTTCTAATATGTTAATTCTCAGTTGTCCAACATCCTGTGCTACTATAAAGCATGGTCTGTCTTCTAATTTTTATATAACATTTTCCATGTTACAAAATAGGTATCGCACAATGATGTAGCTTTCCTCTTTGGCTTCATTCTGTCTTTCTTCTATTGGGAACTATAGCCTTAAAACAGTGATTTTTTTTTTTTTTTTTTTTTCCCTGAATTTAAAACAGTGAAAATGATTTCTCCTGGGCTATTTCTTAGCCAAAGTTCCAACTATATCATGTTATCATGTTGTATATTGTCACATTGTGGTTTTGGGAAATCTGTGCAATAAGCATAAAGTAGAAACTAACATATGTTAAACTCTTATTCCAGCACATGGTTATTGGTGGTCTCCCTCTTGTAGCGGTCTCCATCCTTAATAATGATCCTGCCCTGAGTGGGAGTTTGAAGGAGCTTACAACAAGTGATCTTCTGGCGCTTCTGTATACCTCCATTTTTGGAAGTGCCGTCAGCTATGGTGTATTCTTCTACAATGCTACAAGAGGTCATCTCCAAATTATGATATTGTTGTCTTCTTCACAACATATATTTTCACATACTTCTTTCTAAATTGTTAGTCTATTATCTTTCCTTGTGGCCTCCTTTATAAGTTGAATAAAGCTGGCCACCAGATAGTTGGGAAAAATAAATATATTGTTGCTTTACTTTTTTGTGGAATACATAACTGATGCACCTTTAAGCTATGTTAAATAGCATAACAGTGTCTAATTCTAATTGCAAAAAGGATTGACCTTGCTTTGCTTATTCATTTCAGTTGCTTTGCTTATTCATTTCAGGTAGTCTTACAAAGCTCAGCTCCCTCACCTTTCTAACTCCAATGTTTGCTTCAATTTTTGGGTAAGTTCATCCAACCAGAACGAAATTACAAAAACTGAAACTGCATTTCTGTTCAACTGTTTGAATTAGTTGTTAGTTTTCTGATGGAATTCGGAACAGCTGACACGAGAGATGAAGTGAACAGTACCTGAAGAGTTGTGTTGCATTTGATGGATATGATTAGCTTCTATCCCCTTTTTTGTGCTTCATTCTCTGTAATATGATTTACTTCGAAATACAGGTTCCTCTATCTTGGTGAGACCTTTTCACCTGTGCAACTAGTTGGAGCATTTGTTACTGTGGGTGCAATATACATGGTCAATTACAAAGGTAACGAATGAGGTGTGTAGAAAATGGGTGCAGTTACTGTGGGTGCAATATACATGGTCAATTACAAAGGTAACGAATGAGGCGTGTTGAAAATGGGTGCAACTAATTGTAAACAGAGAAAGTAAGAAGATGTCAGGTTGGCTCGTCTTCCAGTCGCTAATATGTAGCTGCCATCATCGTCTAGTCTCTTATCTTGGCACACCAGTCATCAAGGCCTAAATTTGATGCAGGGGACCAGCTTCTTTTCATGGGAACATTTTGTTTTAGATGAAGGTAAAAGGAGCATCTATTCTTTAATATTTGTCTGTAAATATTGTAAATGTGTCGAGGCCTATATAGCATGGTATGTATTATTGACATGACAATGTGTTTATCGAACAAAACATGAAATTAATAGCGTATATACTTCACAGATTTAGCTGTGCGTTAAAAGTTTTCATTGTGTCGACAGTTTAGGAATGTTGACTAATGTGTATTTGAAATGAGATTATGCAATATGTTCAATCAATACCAAGAGATAAAAGAACTGGGGTGAACCAAACGGCTGTTAACAGTAAAACTTCATAAAAGGTTGCAAAGTATGCAACCACAAAAAACAATCTTTTCTGAATGAAAAGTTACAACTGAAAAGATCAATCCATAAGCTGAAGCAGCTACAGCAGCAGGTAGCGTGTGAAGACCTCTTCTAAAACCAACTCAGCAATGCGCTAGTCCTATCTGCTGATGCGCTTCCCTTTTCTTTCCAATCAGTCTTCTTTTGGCATCATCTATATTACAGCCTCCTGGCTCAGATAAAGCATGCCTCTGAAAGCTCAGTGGAATCCGATCATCTCTAGAACCGGACCTCGAAGATGTCCAGCAATCTGTTGAATCAGCTGAATTTGGTTCCCATGAAGTGGAAGAAACCCAGTGCAGTTGACCACTCACAAAGCTGTTGCTCCCTGAGGATTCTTGCTCCTCCATGTTCTCCACTTCCACTGTACCACCCCTAGTGGTTACATACTTGTGAAGACTCGGCTCAATCAGATCATCAGCAACGACCACTTCAGACTCTACAAAAGGGTCTATTCTCTTCTTCCCAACAGGATTGGCTCCTAAAGAAAAATTGTCAGTGTTCTTGTTAAGCTGCTCACTTGTGGGGCTTCTTCTTCTTCTCTCTTCAGTGCAGGACAGATTGGAGCTTGTAGAAGAGTTGAGGTCAGCAACTGCTTCGAGGATGGAACAGGCCTTGGTAACACAAGGTGGGAGAGAAACTGCGTTGGTGTTCTTTTGGTGGAAGTTTTGGATGTCTTCAAGCAATAATGCAGCATAGGTCGGATTGGGATTGGGATTGGGATTGGGATTGGTATTTGGATTCAGTAGTGTCTCAGGATTGAGGTCAAGGTCTCGGGATCGCCTAGATGATCTGCTTCTTACTAAGGTTTGGGGTTTAAGGCTATCATCTCCTGATGCAATTGCAGTCACTGTAATATCCCTGGCCATTGATTGCAATCCTTTAGCCTCTTCCACAACCAGCTGCTGCTCCTTTCCTCTCAAATTCACAGTAACAATCTTGTCCGCGGCACCTTTTTGACTGGTTTTGTTCTCACTCCCTTGCACTACTACTTTCTTGTTACTTGCATTCTCAATGTTTGGCTTGTGCATTGCAGCCTGCTGTATTTAGCATAGAAACAACTAGTTGTAAAATCAAGAAAACATGGTAGGAATTTGCATAATTGCATGTGAAAGACAAAGGAGTATTGAAAGATTAGGTAAAATACCTGAGGCAGAATGTTGTTGTTGGGCAGGGTCATTTGTTCCGATCCGGTTATATTTGTATCGATCTCACTCAAGGGGTTTCTTCTGTAAGGAGATTGATCAGCTTTCCTTGAATTGCTGCGGCTGAGGGACAATGGCTGTTGCTTGTGTTGGTTGGAGTGGGCATCCTGGTTTTCATTAGAAGCTCTAACATTTGCCCTTGCAGGGGAGCAAGAGCGAGCTGTGTTTCTCTTCACCGAGATCCTTTTCTTTGCAGCAGCAGACAGAGGTTCTGCACCACCACCATTGTTGCTCTTATCCATTGCCAACGAAGAAACTGTAGCAGGGACGGAGACTATCTTTCCAGGTCTACAACTATCACCACCATTGGCAGATGATGGTGTAGAATCAGCAACACCATTAGTACCATTTCTTCTACCCGGGGACCGGCTCACCCTTCTCCCACCACCACTGTTGCCTCTCTCCCTGCTGCCCGAACGCTGCTGCTGCGGTTGTTGGTCTCTTTCTCTGCTAGGTGTCCTCCTCCTCCTATGGGACGGCGAAGGAGAACCCCTAGATTGGCGCTGACGCTGCCGGTTGATTCTCTCCCCTGCAGCAGTCTCATCAACAACATTGTCATCATAAGTACCATTGCCTTTCGCAGTCTCATTGTCAAAGTCATAACTCCTCTTTGAACCAGAGTACTTAAGGCCGCGGTGGGGATTGCCCGTGTTGTCAGATGACCCACCGGCCTTCTTGGATGAAGAGCTCCGGCTAAGCCGTCCACACTGGATCAGAATGGCATCAACCTCTTCTTTGGTGCAGCTTGATGTCCTCACCACTACGCTGCCACCATTACTAAATCCACCATTACAGATATTACCTGCTTCAGATGTAGTAGTACTAGTAGTGGCTGTGGTCGTGGTGGTGGTGGTCGTAGTAGAGGCGACCTTCTGGTCTTCTCTACCCTTTTTCTCTTCTTCAGAGTGCCTATCAATGTCATGGCTCTTTCTGTGCTTTATGACTAGTACTTCCTTCTTCGTAGTTTCTTCCTCTGTCGTGTTCTTCGCTACTTCGGTACTCAGTTTGGTTTGATCTGGTGGGCATGGAAGTGCTCTAGGAGGAGGAGGAGGAGGAGAAGTAGTTTTCTTGCTCAAGCAAGTACCCATTTTTTAGAGAGAGAAAAATGCAGAAACTAGAGAGAGAAAGTGAAGGAATAATGAGAGAGGAATGGAATAGTTGTAGTAGAAGAGAAGAGGAAAAGGGAAAAGGGTTCAGTGTCCGAGAAACACATTCTTCATTTTTGAAATAACAACGGTTTGGATTTTAGAGAGAGAGAGAGTGTGTGAGGAATTCAAATTTTTTGACAGGTAGGCGGGGAATCTGTGATTTAGCCGTTAGATGGTCATTTTTTAAACTGATGTCAGACCCACCACCACCACGAGAGTGAACTGTCTCACCAGTACATAGCATCATTGTTCCTTTTGTATAGTTAATGATCTCTGAAATTGAAAACATCTTTAAGATTTGGAATTTTTGTAACGGTCGTCTGGTGGGGGCAGTGTTTGGCCATAGATCTGATTGGGTTTCTGTTTTTATTTTTCTTTTCTTTTTTCTTATTTGCTTTCTTGAAATATAAAAAAAATATCATGCTTATTCTGTCGAAAACTAAATCCTCTCTTATTTTTTCTAATCTCATCTTGTGTCATCCACTACATTCGTGACTTGGTAGTACAAGGTAACCCACACATTTGCGTTATTAAATATATTACATCATGTTAAGATATTACATTATCGATAACTTAATAATTTAATACTTTTATGAAGTTATTGCATTATCGATTTAAAGTTATTAAATTATCGATTTAGTGTGTTGTGACTAAGAGGACACAAGAGAGAATTTTGATTCTTTTTCAAGATAGATCTTGACGAGTTTTGTGCAGGATGAAACATGCTCGAGGAGTAATTTTAGAGTAATTTTAATATCTCGATGCAAGTGTTATGTATGAGCGTGGCTAATTTGACATGGTTTTTTTCTTGACTCGGTTTAGCTCACCAAATGATGAAAATGCTGCAAAATGATATATGCTTATTAGATTAATCCTGTCCATTTTGAGTATCATTGACTAAATGGGTCATTGATCTAGCCCTAATTTATATTCATTTCTTAAACATTTTGGCAGTATATAGTATTAGAAATATGAAGGAACAGTTTTATTTGCCAAAGAAAATAATAGAAAATGGAAATCTCTACTTTTCCAAATGTTTGGAAAGTGCAACATTATATTAAACATTTTACAAAAAGAAGATACTGAAAAAATAGTCACTAATTTATGAAAAAATCTATGATGTCTGTCCTTCATAACACTAACACACCCAGAAAAAAATGGGGCACATTTTTTATTTATTTATCATTGAATGAAGCCATGGAGATGATAGGAGAGGATCCAAATCCAAAACCATATTTGATCAGACATGATTTTTCATTTTAAGATGTCTCAAATTTATGTCTTATTTGAAAAAAAACGTAAGAGTATTGTATATTTTAAAAAAAATAAAAAATGATACAACAAACCACTCTCTCACACCCCCAATTATTTGAGGGATTCGGTTTTTTGGTATCACTTTAGAGTTTTCCTTTTAAAAAACATCAACTTCAAAAACTTAAAAAAAAAATAAAAAATGATAGGACAAACCACTCTCTCACACCCCCAATTATTTGAGGGATTCGGTTTTTTGGTGTCACTCTAGAGTTTTCCTTCTAAAAAACATCAACTTCAAAAACTTTTTCAAACATACAATATTAAGCTTGGGCAGAGGGAGAAAAACACTTCTAATTTTGGGCAAATATTACTTTTAAGGATTTTTTTTTTTTTTTTTTTTTTTTTTTTTTTTTTTTTTGGTATACAAGTGCATTAAGTTTGAAAAATGATTAAAGAAGGGTTTGAGGTTACAAATTTAGTCATGTGCAACATTTTTAAAATATAAAATTCTGAAAACACAATTTTCTCTTCTAATAATGGCCTTATGAGAGAGAGCGCGGGGAAATTGACTATCAGACGAATGAAAGAGAGAGAACATAAAATTCCTTTATGGTTCAACTTGCCTTAGTGAAAGGACTTCAACCGTAAATGAATTGCAATGAAAATACATGCAGAGACTGCAGCACAGTAAGAAGGTTAAGAGAAATAAAGATGGCGAGAGATAAAGAGGGAGTATGATTCGTATGAAGGAGCATAAGATAGTTGAGAAAGTAAAAAAAAGGAAAGTTGTGTTAGAAGAGAAAAGCTTAAGAAAGCATAATTAGAGCACACTATTACAATGTGTCAATGATTGCTACTTTCTTTATTTATAGGGTCCTAAAATATCTAATTATATATAGAGAAATAAAAGTCTTTATAAGTATGGTTGCGTTGGTAAGGAGTCGGGAGATAAGTCCTTGAGGTTTCGCTGGGAGTACTAATTGCATAGTAGCGCTTTGTATTCTTATTGATCACAATTCCTAATTTACACGTTCTTTTGAAAAATATAAATTTTAAGACAAAATTACCCTTTAAATTTTTATTTTTATTTATTATTTTTTTTTATGTCTCTCCTTTTATTTTCCTCTCCTCAACTTTATCCCTTATATCAATAACATTTTAGATTGCCAGAAAATATATATATATCTAGATTATTTTATTTTCTTTTAACTATATATATGTGCGCGCGCTATATATGGATTCATATATACAAACATATATATGCATATTACGTGTTATATATATATATATATATAACATGTACATCAATTAAGTGAGGAAATTAAAAAAATAGAAATAAAAAAAACTATATAAATTGTGATTATAGTAATTGAACGTGAATCCATATATAGCGCACACATATATATAGTTAAAATATAATTAAAAATAAAAAATAATATAGTTCATTCTCATAATATTATTTATTTTGGTAATACAAAAAGAAAGAAAATAATATATTTCCTTATATATATATATTTTTTTCTAGAGATAAAACTCAATAGATGAAAATAATAAGAGAGAGATAAGAAAAAATTAAAAATTTATATTTTTAATTTTCATAAAAACAGGAAATCATAAATGAACGTCCATCTCGTTCGGATAAGAATTCCAAGTCAGTCCACTTACTTATTGATTACGTGGTCCATTTATATATATATATATATATATCTCTCTCTTCATTACTTGAGTGCACTTATCCTTTGTTTTAGATTTATGATTAAACCAATCGATATTTATCCTCCAACAAAAAGATTTTGTCTTTATCTCTTGATCAAATTATCCTTTTAACCTTGGTTGACTCAAGTGTCAATTACCCAATTCTTTTGAGAACAACAACAGTATGTAATTTTCTTCCCATCTAAAAAATTACTGATTTACCCACTGCCACATCATCACAAAATAAGTCCAATTATTCTCCACGTTATTGTCACACAATTTTGCCAAAATGGGTGTCAAAATTTTCAGAAAATATAGAATGGTGTTTTTGGCTCGGGACAATAGTTGTGGATTTCAAAAAGGACAACAATGCATGTCCCAAAACTATTTTTTTTTTTTAAATTATACCCTCGAACTCAAAGATATGTATCAAATTTTATTTTAGTGTAATTTTATTTTAAAGTAATTTTCATAAATGAAAATTTTAAAATGAGAAATCTGAAAATCTCTGTATTCTAACTTTCTAAGCTATTTTTCATGCCCAAAATCTGCAAATTTAAAGAACACCACATAACATAAGAAAGTAATATTTGATTAAAAAGTAACAATATTGTCCAAACTATCCATTTTGGACTTAACATCTCTCCTTAACATAACATCAAAACTAACCTCCGAAAAACAAACATAACACCAAAACTTCATAAGACTGTAAAATCTATGAGATGATAACACAACAAATGAAAAAGACAATGTGAAAGGAAACTAAAAACAACAATGGCGGAGGATGCAAAGCAGGGTCAAACTATCGAGCAAAGATCCTTATGCCAGAAGGAGATTGACACCGAACGAGATCGTGCAAATCATAAGCCCCAACAATGCCAAGAACCCGTATTTCCTGAAAGCAAAAAGATACAAACAAAATTAACAAACACAGAGAGACATCCAAATATATATATATATATATATATATATATTATGTCACTTTACACCGACTTCTCTTGTTTGAAAAATAAGAATGCTCATTCTTGTTACATATAATTTGGCGGTTAACCATGATTTTATGTAAACATCAACAATTTGAACTTCCAAAATACCAATTGTACCATTGTAATGCACGTAAAGGCATTTTTAAGTCGAACAGACTTAAATTGCATACCCATTGGCAAATATAACAGAGAAGGTGAGTGTAATTTTTCATTCACAATGAGTGTTCGTTTCTGTCATAATAAGCCGCAAGGAAGCTGAGTGTAACGAGTAATGCTATATACAAGCAAAACGTTTAGACCGACTAAACAATGCAATGCAACTAAAAGATGATCAATCAGTATCTTGAGGTCCATATGATTTTCAATGGTCATTAGTTTATTTAGACCGACTAAAGAATGTCACTAGTAAATAAGAGTGTTGGAGTGTTCAACCTCTGCTAGGGCAATATTGGAGTGTGTGGGCGTTTGCTTGAACTTTCGAAAAACGAGAGAAATTTCAAATTTTAGACTGACTAAACAATGTCACTAGTAAATGACTATAGGCATCTTTTGGTGAGATCTACTAGGTTTCGTTTTGTTCTTTCCAGCAGAATTCAGTCCAAGTCGATACACACAATTCAGTTTAAAGACAATTTTCCTACACATAGATGTTGTGAGTGTTCGAACTCTGCTAGGACAATATTGTGAGTGTGCATGTGTTTGCTTGCATTTGGAAAAATAAACATACCCAAGGTTAAGACGATTTCTGGGATCACCGGAGGCGTAGCCGGTGAAATAGAAATAGCGGCCGACGATGTAGAAGGCCCCAAGAGAAGCGCAGATCAGGGGATGCTTAATTCCTCCCAAAATCATGAGCATGAAGAACATGGGCAACATTTCCAGCGAGTTCTGATGTCCTCTCTGCAACCACCAATACAATTACACTTTTAATCCATCATATTACACATGCATTTATTGATTATATATATATATATATATATGATCATAATGAACATAAATAAGCATACCTGAACACAGTTGAAGAGCTTAGCATCCTTGTTTTCAGATTCCACAGCATAGAGCGTGGGATAGTTCACCTTGTACCTATCAATACAGTCCTCATCAAATTACTACAAATAAAAATTGACAAAAGGGTTTCA